TATCTATCTATCTATCTATCTATCTATCTATCTATCTATCTATCTATCTATCTATACATACATACATAATTTATATATATATAGAGTGAGAAAGAGAGAGCGAGAGGTGATTCAGTTTGCTTTGTAGACTGTTTGCAGTCTGATGATAAGTAAAATAAGATAAGAGAGACAGAGAGAAATAGTGTGAGATAGAAAGAGACAGAGAGAAATAGTGTGAGATAGAAAGAGATAGATAGATAGAGAGAGAGGAAAGAGAGAGAGAGAGAGAAAGAGAGAGAGAGAGAGAGAGAGAGAGAGAGAGAGAGAGAGAGAAAAGAGAGAGTGTGATAGGAAGGGGCAAGGGGAGACACAGACAGATAGAAAAAGAAATACAAACACAAATTGAAAAGATGGAGGATTAAGTAATTAACAGACAAACAGACAGAAAGAGAGACACGGTGAGAAAGATGAAGTATAATAATCATAAAAAGTAATCAACCCTAACTAGATGTTGTGAGTGTCCCACAGTATCAGGAAGGCCTATTATATTTCAATTTACTCAACTTTTAAAAGGACCTTGAAAATATGTGAGAAAACAAAACTGGAGGATAGAGAACAATGTTTTCCTCGTGAATGGGGAACATTTTTTTTTCATTTTAAAGCTTCAACATGATGATCACACTAACCAACTGTATGAGCACATTAAAGACTTAAAGCCAGAGCTCCTTTTTCATGTGAGACAAGCTGGTTGGTAAATAAGAGAGAGAGAGAGACAGAGACAGAGAGAGAGAGAGAGAGAGAGTGAGAGAGAGAGAGAGGGGGGAGAGAAGGAGAGAGAGCGAGAGAGAGAGAGCGAGAGAGAGAGAGACTCAAAAACAATAAATGTTAATGACTGTAAATTAGAAGCACTCTTACATTACAGACCAGATCCAAATTTAAAAAAAACAAACCATTCTAATTGGTTCTCTATGTTTTCTACAACATAAGAAATATGTCCATGTTGCTGTGAAGCTAGTCAGAATAGGACATATATACAGCGCTGCAAACTCAACTCATGAATTAAACCCACCCAGAAAAAACATTAAGCTCCTGTGCTGATATATATATATACCATTTGCAGAGAATTAACATTTCAACAGAAAAAAAACCCAATCTTTCTCAAGATCGGCTTTTAAAAAATGTCACTTCACAGGTAAATTTTGAAGACACCCCCTCGTAAATACTTAAAATACAGCCTCCTCTCTCCAATCCTAAAGATGCTACTGATCTTGAAACTGCAAAATATTATTTATCTTATTAATTTTTTAGCGCTGTATGTCCATTCAATTTTCTCTCCCCTCCCCCAACTAACAATGCTAGCCCCACTAATTGCATAAAAGTGTTATAATGACATTTTTGGTAACACACACTCACCTCATTCTGACCAGGTTTTGGCACCGGGACTTGCGTCTCCACCTTGAGCACCTCTGGACCACCAAACTGGGCAATTCGTACAGCTCTCATCATTTGTCTTATTATTCGACTCATTCAATTTAACTGATGGAGAAAAACAAGAACAAATTCTGAGGGTGAGGTTTGAGTTAAAATGTTACAACAATGGTTTAGCAGGCGATGACTTGGGATTCGCATTAGTATCTTAGACCTGGTTCTCAGCTTCGTTGGATAGAATAGTGTATGCACTGCAGTGCATGCTTGGGCATGGTACTTTGTCCAGTACTTTGTCCTACTATTTAAAATTCACAAAGCCACAAAAACATACTTCACACACAGCAGTGGCCGAAATTGAGATCCATCATGAGAATTACTGAGATAAAGAATAAATAACACTTCTATTATAAAAGATAAGAGAGCCTTAGCTTTTTTAAAGAGAAGCAGATTGACACTAATGAAGTACCTGGAAAAATCAAAGCAGAGACAGAAAAACAAGTAAATAGACCTGCATGTGAGCCTCACCAGATTGTCTGATAATTTTGCGCACCCCCCCCCCCCCCAAAAGCTTTTAATTGTGGGTGTCATAAAAGTAAAAGTAAGGAATTCCGAGTAACGAGCGACCACCCCAACAGCACCATAAAGAAGATACTTAACCCTAACCCTTTACTAAGTCTAACCCTACCCCTAGGCCTACCCCAAAAAAGAAACTGCAAAGGCCCTCCTGTAAAAAAGGCCAGCACAAGTTCAAAATGAAAAAAAAAACCCACTCCAAAACAAACAAGGAGCATTTATATAGCCTTCATTGTTATAGGGTTTGATACAATAACACAATAGAATGGGAATATGAATCCTGTTTACGTAAAGTAAAGAAGTAGGACCTACCATGCGTGGCACCCTCACACCCACAAAAAAAAAGAGAATATTTCACGAGCAATCACGGTAACTTAATGATTTCAAGTAGGGCCTACTATTTTGCTATTTATATATCTTGTCAAATCATGACACACTTCCATTCCAACATCTGCTACAACTCTGACATCATAGTCGCTGAAACTGTGCGACGTGAAGTACATCAAAACATAGTGTAGAATACTGAGCGCATGTTAGCAATTTAAGCACACAAAACTTGGAAAACAATGTAGATTCGCTATAGCTCTTGAAATCGATAGAGACTTAGAAAGAAAAACATTACGTCGGTCGCCTGACTGATGCAATCGTGAATTCCACACAAAGCAAATTTTACAGGAGAGGGAAAAAACTGATTTTCTCAGTTATTTGGCGTTCAAGACAAACTAAATGGATAAATCTAGTCAATTACCTTTTAGAAATACTGTCGTACATTTTTTACTGTAGATGGTCATTTTTTCTAAAAAGAGTGGGATTTTCAATTTTCATTCGAATCTCGCCTGATGCGGTCTTGATCACGATTTCATCAGTGGGTTTTATGAAACGCGCAGTTTTATTCACGGTTATTAGGCAGTGTGTTTTCTCTTATTAGAGGCCCTGGTGTGTTTAAAATATATGAAAGCACAAAATACTATACAAAAGATTTTAAAAGACCAGTTTAAAACAGTATGAAATTATACAGATTGAGTGAAACAAAGCTTTTCATTATTTTACCACTATAAACATCTATCATTCTTACATAAATGGGAAATGGTACACAATTTATGAAATCAAACTCTTTCATTTGCCTGCTCTCTCTCTCTCTCTATCTATCCTTCTTTCTCCAATTGTGTATAAGTGTGTCTTTTTTATTGGGCTGGGGGGTGTGGATTGGCTGAGAACTTGATTTGTATCAAACTTCTCTGTACCCTGTGAATGACTGAATGATCATCTTTCATTATCTTACCCTTTTTGTCTCTCAGATCCTGAAATATACACTTTGCGATTTTTAATGGAGAATGATACAGTGGTGGGGAACTGTTTGTTAAGTTTTCCTTGTCTCTTGACTTTAGAACACTTTCCCCCTCTTCATTACAGTTCAGTTTGCAAAAGATCTCCTTATAAATGTCAGAGGCTTCCTATTGCATTAGCAGTTTGGTCTTCTTTTTGTCTACTTGGCCTGACAGTCTTGTGGATTGCAATTTCTGCAAGATCATGGGGCATGGGGGAAAATGTGGTCCACAAATTTCAGTTTATGGGGTCTTCGTTGATATAATTATTAAAAATTCAGTTCTGAAAATGGCAACATAATCTAGTGGCCTGTAATATTTGTGTGTTTTTATTTAAAGCCGCATCTCGATGACGCCGAGCATACTATCTACTTGCATTTGAGTGTGGAGTCTAACAACATTTTTTATTCAATTTCAGCATCTGCTTTAGTGGAAAAGGCACCCACGGAATTATATAAATAGATGCAATTTTGTGCTGATACACACACACACACACACAAACAAACACACACAAACAAACACACACTCACACACCTGTAGTTGTATAATAATATATAGTTATAAACTTCTATGCATTTGTGCATGTTGAAAAAAGGTCCATCAAACAACTTGTGAATTCATTTTCAATTAAACCACCTTGTGCCTTGTGTCATAAGTAATAGATGGCATCATACGAGGTTGCACTGAAGATTATAAACATGATTTTGAAACAACAGTTGGAGGAATTGATAGACAATGCCAAAAGTACACCCTGGAGATTCATGCAAATCATCTCAAGGTCTTGTTGCCCAAGAGCAAAGGTATCCATGGTGTGCCCTTTCTTTATCATTTTTTTTTCTGACATATGTGAGATTCCCACTTAGTCTGGCTGACATTATCAAGACTCAAAACTCACGTACAATTTAAATTGATCTTTTTAGGCTCATAGATCGACATGTTCCTTTCACCTAGCACATATTTGAGTAGTCTGACATACACTGCATACATGGTCCCTGACTTGTGCAGCCTGTTTTGTAAAACCAAGAAGCTCCGACAGATTACAGAAGTAGGGATCAAGATAGTTTTCCAGAGCTTTGCTGGCAATAGTCTCTGCGTTTGTTGCCATTTTTTTGTCCAAAAGTTGCCACAAAATTGGCAAAAGTTGCCATAAAAGGTTCTATTAATTTTCATCTCTCTGTGATAACGTGTATAGCAATGTGTTGCCAAGGTAACTTAATCTAAAGCACCAGAATTTCTTGGGCTCTGTTTTAAGCATCCAGAATATCATTAGCAGCCACACAGAGAGTAAAAATGTGAAAAATACAGGTTTCACAACAGAATGAAATCAAAACTAGAATAGCACATAAACAACAAAAATTAACAAATAAGGGCGTGTGCCCACCTTTCTGAAGATTGGCCGTTTTTTAAAACCCTAAACGAGTGTAATTCAATAAAAAGTACATGATTTTTTTTAACATGTAAATTATGGAACCACACACAAGGGCCACTATTTGGTTTTAGGTGGAGACACGCCCCAACATTTATCATTATAACTTTCTATAATACATTTATATATTTTTTTAATGCAGGAACAACATCACATTAAATAACATTTTATGCTTTATACACAGAAGATTCGCGGACTAAAAAATGCCAAAAATCGCGGCCGCGACAAACGCGCTAGAATAGTGGGAGGGAACCTTCGGAAGCATGTACACAGATGTGAATAGAAACTCCTAGACTTTTACGCCCTTTGTGGTTTGTTTAATAGTGGTGTAGCTGGGATGGGCTCTTCTAAAACACTCTCTACAAAGCGAAAGAGGATCCAGGTTGTCATCAACAAGTGCCTGAGGAAGTCCTGCAAGATCAGATGAAAAGACAGTCACCAATGACGAAGTATAAAGCAGAAAATATTAACACAGAAGAAAGCAGTGGAGATGGATTGGACTGAGCATTCATCTCGAAATCAGGCAGTTACATCAAAGAAAGTTTTAACTTGGAGTCCACAAGTTGAACAATGAAGGGAAGGTCATGTGGACCTGTAGAAAAGTCGCACAGAATGATGAATGTAACAGAAAAGTGGAAAGACATTTGGAAAATAATATGAAGAAGTTAGCCGAGGGTATGGAATAGTGGAAAGTGTTTGTCCGTATGGGAGAGCCAGGCGAAGATGAAACTGGCCTGGGCTCTTCTAGAGCAAATGAGCCAGGTAGTGATCATCAACTTCCTGCGAACTTTGATCTTCTGGTCACTCTATTTCAGATAATAAACCCAAGTGTGCGTCTTTCAGCTTGATCGCATTTGCATAAATTGTACTCCTTCATGATGGGAAGACCGTTCACATATAAAGGTCTTTGTGTCTCCCCATGTCAAAGTCCAAACAAAGACAAAGATAGTAGTTCTGGTTTTGTCTTTTAATAGTGAGTAGTCATTTGATTTTGGTTGAGCAATCACATCTGGGTTTCAGTTTATCAGGGTTTTTTTAATAAAGTATCTCTTGATCTGTATTGCTTATAATGGCTGACCACTCTCACTCTCTCTCTCGGAGGTTAAAAAAAAAGCACCTTTGATCTGCTCCAACGCATCGTGTACTTTGAATGACACATGTTTTTTTTGTTGAGGCCCGGTTCTATTATTTCTGTTCTGGATTTTCTGCAGCTTTCTTTGATATTCAAAGTGGTTCACATTGTTCGGCTTCGCAAAATTTCTTTTCTCATCAGGGAGCTCTGTTGTCAAATCAGTGAGCTTTCAATGTCAAACAAGTTTGGATTATGATACAACACGGAAATATATATATATATATATATATACAAGATTTGTAATTTATACTTGGCTACGTCAATTTCTAAATATTTTTTCTGCAAACTGACAAGATCAAAATTGTATTGCATACTACCAAATAGGGCACACGCATTAGACATTCGAATCTGACAGTTTTTGTGAAACAGTACCAGTCCTGCATCTAGGACACATACATGCTTTTAATCATGTGACAGAGAGGTTTTCCCGCAAAACACATGCAGTCGATCATAAATCATACTCTTTGGCCTGGAAACCGTGAATACTGACCGACCATTGTGTCTGCTCAACGTGGTCGCCAATATTTCAAATTCAATGGTATAAAGAGGCATTCACGGCGCCAACGGTTAGCCCCGTGAGTCATAAGCCGACTGATGAGATCATGAATTCCACACAGGTGTAGGATTCACTGTTTCATCAGGCGACTTATAG